CCAGCTTTCACATGCGTACGAGGCAATTGAAAATACCATGATTTGGGTCAGGTGCACCTTAGTCCTAAAGTGACATCTTTGCTTTTGAACACTTTAAAGAGGTCTTTTTGCAGCAGATTTGCCCAAGAAATCGTTTGATTTCTTGACTACTGCTTCCATGGGCGTTGATTGTGGATTCAGGTAAATGAAATCCTTGACAACTTCAATCTTTTCTCCGTTTATCATGACGTTGCTTATTGGTCCAGTTGTGAGGATTTTTGTTTTATGTTGAGATGTAATCCATACTGAAGGCTGTAATCTTTGATCTTAGAGTTTCAAGTCCTCCTCACTTTCAGCAAGCAAGGTTTTGTCATCTGCATATGGCAGGTTGTTAATGAGTCTTCCTCCATTTCTGATGCTATGTTCTTTTTCGTATAGTCCAGTTTCTTAGATTTGCTCAGCATGCAAATTGAAAAAGTATGGTGAAAGGATACAACCCTGACACACACCTTTCCTGATTTTAAGCCACACAGTATCCCCTTGTTCTGTTCAAATACTTCTTGGTCTAAGTACACGTTCCTCATGAGCAAAATTAAGTGTTCTGAAATTCCCATTCTTCCCAATATTATCCATAATTTGTTGTGCTCCACACAGTCAAATGCCTTTGCATAGTCAGTAAAACACAGGTAAATATCTTTCTGGTACTCTCTGCTTTTAGCCAGGATCCATCTGACAGCAGTGATGTCATTCTACGTCCTCTTCTGAATCTGGCTTGAATAATAATAATTAATTAATTTAAAAATCCTATTAAAATCTAACTTGAAAAGATTCCCAGAAAGGTGCATAGGTTGCCTTCTGCAATTTTCTTAAAGGGAAGTGAGTAAATATTAGACATTTTAATAACATATTGACACCAATTTGAGCTTTTTTTTGGCTTTAGTGAATAAAAATTTATTTTCGCACACAGTTTAGGAGGCTAAAAGTTCAAATTCAGGACACTAGCTCTAGAGCAATGCCCTCTCTGTCTGCTCTGGGGGAAAATTTTGTCTTTCAGTTTCTCTTCCTCAGTTCCTTGGTGATTTCCACATGGCATCTATCCTTTCCCATTTGTGCTTCCTTCCTTCTGTGCCTAATCTGCTCCTTTTATATCTCAAAAGTAATTAGGTTTAAAACACACCCAACACTGATACAGCCTTGTTAACATATCAGAGAAGACTCTACTCCCAAATGAAATTACATCCACAAGTATAGCGGTTAGGATTTCCAACACATATACAGTCCATAGCATTCCACTCTTTGCCCCACCCAAATTTATATCCTAACAATATACAAAACACAGTCACCCTAATCACATCATCCCAAAAGTCTTAAATTAACTTCAATTCTGATATCTCATCTTCTGAATCATCTAAATCAATTGAGTTTTCTTTTTGATGCAATTATACTATGACTTAATAATACTAAATGCCACATCCATATATAGCTCTACAATAACCTCTCATATTGGGAAAATAAAATAGGGTATCTATATATATGTTTGTTATATAGCAAAGATTAAAAGAAGTTAGGAGTTAAACCCTCTCTTGTAGTCCTCTAACAATACTGTGCTCAGTACATGAAGGTTCAGAGCTATTTTATTGTTTGTGGCATTATCTTCAGAACAATCAAAAGCGATTTTCTTTGTCCATTTGGAGTCCCTGGGATTCCAGTGATGTAGAGATGTATATTTTTTGTTACACTCATTCCTAAGTAGTTTATATTTTATGGAACGACTCTGAATGGAAAATTTTTCCGTTTTCATTCTAACTAGCTGTTGTAGGTCTTTTGGAATGTCTTGGTTTTAAATATATATTACTTGTGTATTTAGTCATCTTCTGAACTTGCTTAGGAGTTTTTAATCATTTTTTCCACTGTTTCTCTTCGGTTTTCTAAGTAATCATTTAATCTCCAAAAAATTTTATCACTCTCTTCTTTTCCAGTAGCTATAGTGGACTTTTCAGTGACATGGGCCAATCAACTTTCTTTTGTTGCTTAAATAGGTATGTGTGCTCTGTCAGAGCTCTGGTGGTGTAGTAGTTAAGAGCTTGGCTGGTAACCAAAAGGTTGGCAGTTCGAATCCACCAGCCTCTCCTTGGAAACCCTATGGGACAGTTCTACTCTGTCCTACAGGGTAGCTATGAGTTGGAATTGACTCGACAACAACGGGTTTAGCTTTTTGGTTTTGGTTCTGTCACTTACAACCCAAAGTGGCCCTGATGAAGGTTTGCCGTCGTTGCTAGCTGCCGTTGAGTCAGCGTCAACTCCTCATGATACCACAACACAAGATGAGATCAGACCATTGTGGTCTATATGGTTTTCATTGGCTGATTTTTGGAAGTAGATTGCCAGGCCTTTCTTCCTAGCCTATCTTAGTCTGGAAGTTCCACTGAAACATGTTAAGCATCATAGCAACATGCAAGTTTCCACTGACAGACAGGGGGTGGCTATGCCTGAGGTGCATTTGCTGGGAATAGAACCCTCTCTACAGGTTTAGAAGAGATAAAAATATTTTAGAATTCTTCTTGCCAAAGTAATTTTAATGATTTGAGGATTATATGGAATAAGAGGATGAAGTCCAATGCAAGTGCTCTCGGTAGAGGTTTCAGGTGAATACAGGCAGTTATGGACTTACTGAACTTGATTTCATATATACCTCTCATAAAACTATCCCTAGGACATTGTTTTGCCATAAAAATGAAAGCTTTTATTTTAGGCTTTCTCATAAGTTTGAGTAAAACCTTCAGTATAACACTGTATCTCACAGAATCCTTCTCCTGATGCCGACATGTAGTAGCTTTCTTCTTGGTGTCTCAGTGCCTAGGCAGAAACTTTAGAATTGCTCAGGGGACACTGCAGATATAGGGATGGAAAAGAAGGAGATAAGAGATAAGAATGAAAGAGCAAACGGGGGAGAAATGATAGCTCCATGATGGAGTGTCCTGTAACCATAAAATAGTGTTTGTTGTGTGTTAACTTACTCTGAACAACACTCAATACATAAATAAATAAGGCATGCCACAACATGGGTGAAGCTAGGAAACATTATGTTGAGAGAAATCAGTCAGTAAAAAAAAGGATGAATACTGTATGATCTCACTCATGAAATAAGCAAATATATAAAAACCAAAGCTTATTAGTGGTTACCAGGGGTGGTAGGGAGCGGGGAAGGAGGAGTTTTTGCTTAGGGGGCACTAGGGTTATGTTAATGGTGGTGGAATAATTTGGAAAACTCTGGTGACAGAGGTTGCACAACATTAAGAACGTAATCAATGACACTGAATTGTACATGAGGAAACTGTTGAATTGGTGAAGATTTTGTTGTATATATTTCCACCACAAATTAAAAAAAAAATATTAAACATGCTTCTTGTGTCGGCATAAAAGGAGACAGATGTAGAAGATGACATCTCTGAGGAATAATACCCGTAACCCAGAAAATCACTTTTACTTCATTATAATCACATGTCATGGTCCAAAATAGCAATTTAAATAAATGTTTAGAAGCCTAGATATTATTCAACTTTAAATGCACAAACAATACTTGAGAAGACTAATCAGATTTAGTGCTGTGAACATCATTGTCTCGCCATTATTCATGGACAGTCAATGCTGATTTTTCATAATATCAAGTAACATTATGGTAGGGAAGCAATATTTCAGCTGAAGTGTTGGTTCAGGCATTTTCAAAGCCAGGTATTTACATAACAAGAATGCAAAACAAATTCCCCAGGAAATCAGTCCTCCCACCACTTCTGCATGTGATATTCTGAATGAATTAAACAGAAACACTGCCTCCTGAGTTATTTAAAACTACCAGAAATACTGTTGCTGTTTTTGTTAGGTGCCGTCAATTCGGTTCTGACTCATAGCAACCCCCTGTAAAACAGAATGAAACTCTGCCCTGTCCTGTGCCATCCTCACAATCATTGCTATGTTTGAGCCCATCGTTGCAACCACTGTGTCAATCCATCTCTTTTTCACTGACCCTCTACTTTACTAAGCGTGATGTCCTTCTCCAGGGACTGGTCACTCCTGATAACATGACCAAAGTAAGTGAGACGAAGTCTCACCATCCTTGCTTCTAAGCAGCATTCTGGCTGTACTTCTTCCAAGACAGATTTGTTCATTCTTCTGGCAGTCCATGGTATATTCAGTATTCTTCACCTACAGGAGAATTCAAATGCATCAATTCTAGGAATGCTAGGAAGAAATAATAGTTGACCTTATGTATAACATTCTAGGATACTGTATTCAACTGCTGTTCTATTTTTTTACCTGTGTATATGTTTTAAATCTTTATACTGTACAACAAATGGGCCTAATACTTGTAATTAAGTATTTTCTGTTAGTAGTTAATAAAAAGTTGGCTGTTAGCTCTGGAAAGTGATTTCCAATGTAACAGAGTTTGAAGCTGTATAAGCTTCATCAAGTTCATCAAATTATTAAAATTAATCCATAATATGAACTCTCTGATGTCTAATAAGTATTGAGCTAATTTTGAAAGCTTTCCCATGTCTAGTGCATTCATAAAATTTGTAAGAGTACCCTAAAACTCTCAGACAAGTCACATGCATAAAATGTCTGAGTTTAGGTCTGACACCAATTCCATTTAACTTAAAGAATGCACTTCTGTTTTTTTGTTGGCCAGCAACAGCTGACCATTGTACAGACTTAATCTAATAGCTAAAGAAATGTTTTTCTTTGTGGTTAAGAATGGAGCATGACAAAAAGTGTTCTATTCTCAGGAGAAAATGTTTACACAGAATGTTATCGGAAGAATGCTTACTCAGGTTGCCCCCAGAAAGTCTGTGACAAAAAATAGATTAACTGACGTTTTGAAAGGTTTACTTGTGACTCGTGTATAACCCCCAGCCCTCATATGTGAAAATCCCTCTCCTCTTTCAGATTTTGGAGCATTTTGTTTTCAGAACTGAATGCTGCCCTATTCAAGAATCTCAATATTTCAATAATACTCTTTGCTTTTATTTCAACAGACTCAGAGAGTTTACTCTGACAGGTTTTTTGCCTGTATGATTTTTCACATGTTGACTAAGGGATGAACTGTGAGCAAAAGCATATCCACACTCATTACATTCATAGGGCTTCTCTCCAGTATGAATTCTCTAATATTGAGAAAGTGTTCAACTATTCCAGAAGTCTTTCCCACATTTGTTAGAAATATACGGTTTCTCTCTAGTATGGATTCCCTGGTGTCAAATAAGGGCCATCATGTGGCTGAAGGCTTTTCCATGTTTGTTACATTTATAGGGTTTCTCTCTGGTGTGAGTTCCAGTATGTTGTGTAAAGGATGAATGATCACCAAAGACCTCCCATATTCAGTACACTCATAGGCTTCCTCCCTAGCGTGAGTTCTTTGATGTATGATGAACTAGGACGTCTTGTTGAATGTTTTACCGCATACCTACCCTGGGTGGTGTGAAGAGTTAAAGTGCTCACCTGCTAACCAAAAGGTTGGAGGTTTGAGTCAATCCAGAGGCACCTTGGAAGAAAGGCCTGGTGATCTACTTCCAAAAAATCAGCCATTGAAAACCCTACAGAGCACAGTTCTACTCTGACACACATGGGGGCACCATAAGTCAGAGTCACCTAAACAGCAACTTTTTTAAAAAATATGTTTTAGCACTTTATGTAAACAGTATCAAACTGGATGCATTTTTCTGCTAACTTGATTTTGAATTTAAGAAATATATGTCAGTATTAAGTTTGTGACATCCATTACTGTTGATGCTTTTAACTCTAGGTCATTCATTTTCAATACTGTATTTTATTGTAGGATTTATTACAACTGTATCTTTCGTATTCCTGTAGATGAGTATTTCAGTTGTTTCCAGTTTTTTTCCCTTAAAAACAGAGGCACAGTAAACATTCGTGTCGTATCTCAGGATGCATGATTTTATCTAGGGCAAACCGATAAAAACCAAACCTGCAGCCATTGAGTCAATTCCAACTCATAGCAACCCTGCAGGACAGAGTAGAACTGTCCCAGAGAGTTTCCAAGGAGCACCTGGTGGATCTGAACTGCCAACCTTTTAATCAGCAGCCATACGACTTAACCACTACACCACCAGGGTTTCCTTATCTAGGGCAGTGGTTCTTAAAGTGCTCCACTGAGCCCTGGGATCCTTTCAAGGGATCCTCAAGGTCAAGTATACTTTCATAATTATGCTAAAACATCATTTGCTTTCTTTTTTTCTTTAACTGTGTTGACATTTGCACTCACAGTGTAAAAACAATGGTGGATAAATAATGTGGTGCCTTAACATGAATTAAGATATCAAACTCTAGTACGTAGTATTAATTTTATTAAACCTCTGCAGATTAGCTGGCATGGGGTCATATTGAGCTCTTCAGAAGGGCCAGGCCGACCATGCTCAGGTGGGGCCAACCCATCCACAGTGGACTCAGGAAAATCCTACAAATTTAGCCACAGGAAATAAGCATGGCCATGTGGGAAATTTTCCACAAAGACACTTCTCATGGTGTTACTTTAATCAACAGTTATTCAATCAACATTTGAGTCAATCAACTGTTCTTCAATCATTATCTGAGTAAATCAGCACCAAAAGGAATTAGCCAAGGAGATTATGGCGTATTTTTACAATTTTAACGTCAAGAAGTCAATGATATTCCGAAAGTAACGCAGTCTGCAGGTCCCAAAGACGAACTGGCCATCTTCCTTTAGTATGTAGTCCACCCAGCAACCACCCTTTATATTTGGGGGAGTGGTCCCCAGGACACTGTTTTAAGTGCCTTACAAATATTAACTAATTTAATTATTACAATAACTCTGAAATAAGTACTACTATCATACCTGCTTTATTGACATGGAAATGGGGGTACAAAAAGCTTAAGTAATTTTCCAAGTCCACATGTAGAGCCACCGATCTGAACCACCAGGAGCTCCAGTGGTACACTGCTAACCTAAAGGAGGGACGCTCAAACCCACCAAAGAAAAAAGATGTGGCGATGGGCTCCAGTAAAGATATTTAAAAAAAAAAAAAAAAAAAAGCCGTTGCCCTCGAGTCGATTCCGACTCACAGCAACCCAATAGGGTTTCTAAGGAGGGGGCTGCTGGATTGGAACTGCCGACCTTTTCGTTAGCAACCGAGTTCTTAACCACTGCGCTACCAGGGCTCTCCAATAAAGATTACAACTAAGAAAACCCTATGGGGCAGTTCTGCGCTGTCCTATAGGGTCACTATGAGTCGAAATTGACTCGAAGACAGCTAACAAGAAGCTTGGCTCTAGAGGTTTGCGCGCTTCTGTTGAAGGAACAATTAACCAGGTTGCGTAAACGGTCTGAAGCTGCAGGAGTGGCCGGACGTCCAGCCGCCCTGCCCCGCAGCCTCTTACGCGCAAATGGTGCTCCTTTCGGCAGAGACGTGCGCATCCAGCCTGGAAGGCCCGACACTCACAGCCTAGCCTGGCCACCGCCCTCTGAGGGGGAGAGTTGGAGGCAAGGAGGGACGGCCCCAGCCTCCTTCGTCTCCGGTATTCACCCCAGCCCGGCCACCCTGGGGCACAACCAGAAGTCACCCTACCAGGAACCAGACCCCAGGGCCAAGACGCCTGCGCAAAGCTACCCGCGGGCGGAACTACCACAGGGACTACATTCCCCATAAATCCTCGCGCGCGTCCTCCCGCAAAGGCTGCTGGGAAGGCGTCTACTTCTAGTTGAGAAGATGGCTTGGCTTGTGGGGTTTCACTTGTTTTAATTTTCCCATGGGGCGGAAGGGTTGCCGAAACAAAAAATGCTTGAAAGCTTGAGCTTTTTAAGTCCCTTTTCCTCACTCGTTTCTTTCTTCTGTGTGTGCTTAAAGTTTGTTTTGTTTTTATTGTTTTTGTTTTGGGGAGACTGAGAGCTAGGGGATAAGGGTAATCCTTAATCCTTTTCACAAGAATGTTTCTGTGTGCATTAGCAGAAAGCTTTAAGGAAAGGGAAAACTAGCAGTCATTTCCTTTAATAAATAAATGTGGCGTTTTAAAATATAAAACACCTCTCTAGGCAACTGGAGTCCCTGGGTGGTGCAAACGGATAAGAGCTTGACTACTATCAGAAATGTTGGCAGTTCAAATCCACCCAGAGGTGCCTCGTAAGACAGGTCTGGCAAAATGCTTCTGAAACGTCACGGTCTTGAAAACCCTAAGGAGAAATAGCCAAAGACATAGTACGTCCAGTTTTAATTTCATAGGGGGTTAATTTATGTTTTCTTGTAGGGGATGATCTCATAGCAAGAAGGGCCAGAGGTAAGGTTTTTGGCCTAGGAAGTCTTGTGGCTTCTATCATTTTAGCAATTTTTAATTTAAAATCCCATTAGCTCTCTCAACTTTTCCAGAAGATTGGGGATAACAGGGACAATGATAATGCAGACTGGCTTTTAAATTTTTCATTAAATGTTGAATAATCTTCCCAGTAAAATGAGTTCGTCTATCACTTGATATTTCTTTAGGAAATCCCTAAAGAGGCAAATTATTTTCTCCACCGTAATTGAATCAACTTTTCTACAAGGAAACGCTTCTTTCCTATTGGAGAACATACAAGTCATAACCAGAACATAATGATATCCCATAGAGGGAGGTAATTTTATAAAATCCACTTGCCAATGTTCAAGAGGTCCTTTTGGTGGAGGATACTGCCCAAAATCTGTCATGATAGCTTTTCCTGGATTATGGGTTAAACAAATGCAACATTAATTATAGATTTTTTTCAGATTCTTGGGAAAAATGACCCTATCAGTAATTTCTCATAATTTGTATCATTTTCTTAATACCATGATGAGTTAGAGAATGCACAAGTCTATTAAAAGATCCTTTACAGTCATGTTGTGGGGTTGTTAACCAATGTCATAAAACAATCTGTGTACTAACTGTTTAATGAGAAGCTAGTTTGTTTTGTAAACTTTCATCTAAAGTAAAATAAAAAAAGATCCTTTAATAATTCGGGTAAAACTAATTTTTTATTTGGTCCTTTTATCAATCCAGTGTTTTCATTAAGTTTACAGCCAACACTTATCAAAGTTTATCTTTTCAGAAGCATCCTGTTGTTTTTGTTTTACAATTTCTAAAGGTCTTCAAATTTAGAATTTTCTTTAAGTATCGTAGGGCAATTTCTAGCAATCAATGAGGTTGCAGCTAATTTTGCATAATAATCAGCTAAAGCATTTCCTTGATATTCCGGCTTAATTTGGACATGTTATGAGGAGGGACCTGTCCCTGGAGAAGGACATCATGCTTGGTAAAGTAGAGAGTCAGAGAAAATGAGGAAGATCCTCAAGGAGATGGATTGAAACAGTGGTTGCAACGATGGGCTCAAACATGACAACCGTTAGAGGATGGCACAGGACCAGGACTCTGTGGCACCTAAAAACAACAACAGCATGAGTCAGAACCGGACTCAATGGTACACAACAACAACAACCCTCTAAGCCAGTAATTCCCCTGCCGCCACCCTGGAATGCCACACCTAGCATGCGTTCCTATTTTGCACAGCCTGGATGCAGTGCTGTCTCTAACCTCCCCAGGCGCTGGACCAAGGAGGGCAGCATGCGCACTACACAGGCACAGTGTTTGAAGAACAGGAAAACTGCCTTTCCAGGGTAGTGGCACTGAAAGAGGCGGGGTCTAAACCGTATTGTCTCAGAATTTTGTGTGGGAATAGGTGTTTTATCTCATTCTTGAGGAGTCATGTTATAAAAAAGTCAGAATCGAAAATGCACTGCAACACACAAAAATACTACACCTTTGCCAAGAAGGGCAACTACAAGGATGGCAAAAAATGGTCTTTTAAGTGGTCTTTACATTTGTTACACCACCCATCTGTTATAATTTGTCGCACTTTGGTGGCTTGTGTGTTGCCATGATGCTGGAAGCTATGCCATGCCATAGGTATTTCAAATGCCAACAGGGTCACCCATGATAGACAAGTTTCAGGGAAGCTTCCAGACTAAGACTAGGAAGAAAGGCCTGGAGATCTACAAAAACCCCATGGATCACGACAGAATATTATTCCATATAGTGCTGGAAAATGAGCCCCTTAGGTTGGAAGGCACTCAAAATACACAGACTCAAGCATGAAAATGTTGCAAGACCGCAGAAAGTTTGGATCTGTTGTACACAGGGTCGCCATGAGTCGGAGCTGACTCAATGCAACTAACAACAACACAGGTTATACATGTTGGAAAAAATAGGAGATGTGTGTGTGTGTGTGTGTGTGTGTGTGTGTGTGTATGCATACATACACACACACACACACAGGT